AACAAAAGAGTTATACGTTTAATTTATTATTTGTATACATAAGAGTCTTTGAAAGATTATGTAGTTTTAAAACGGTGATAAGCTCTAAGCCCCTATGTTTTGTTCTTGACTGTAGAGTTTCGTTTTTCCGTAATGTTTTACGTGCGTGTTTGCGTGCACAATGTACAAGTACACTTTATAACTTATGAATGAATACATGTTTTGGGTGGATCACTCATGCATCTTGCTTTTGCGCAGCTTGTGACAAACCTTCGACAATGATAGGGCATCGCAATTGCAGATCATAACAAAGAATATCAAAGAGCGTCTGTCTAAGACTTTAAATTTACGGTCTTTCGTGATAACAAGATGCCGACGCACGTCTATCTTTAACACACTTTCTGAGAGCATATTGTCCCTAAATTCTTGGTGTGTTTTCAAGCAATTTACTCCTTGAGTTTCTGTTTGGCCTAGCAAAGCCTCATACTCATCGTATTCAAACGCTTTTTCGTGGCAACAAAAACACTCAATTGGCTTTTTTGACAAAGTACAATGTCCACACTTACTTACACTAACTAAGAGTTTGAAGGCGCCAAGCATTTGCTTTCTCAAATTCAGCATGTATTTCATCCTCCGATGAGGACAAGTCGCTCTGTCACTATCCTGTTCGGAACCGCTTTCTTCACTAGTTTCGCCCTTCACTTCAGGTTCATATTGATAGGGCAGAACCTCACTCAGTTGATTTTCGTGTATGTCATCCATTACAGCAAAAAAACCCCCGTAAAATACGCTTTAAATGTGTTGTAAAGCAGTCAATCACCATACATATATTGTATTGTTGTTTTGACTGCTCACCAGCCAAAACAAGTGCGCGATAACTTGGAACAAATTTTCTCCCACCATTTTTTTTGTTCCTCTAGCCTAAACCAAGCATCTGTTCTTCTTTGGTAGCAATATTCCTCCTTTTGCATATTAAACTTTCCATAACTAGCAGATCGTCTTCTCGATGAAATTCTCATAATCGCATCGTTCTTGTGCTTAACATGTTCATTTGAAAAACGAATGAAATTATTCTTCCTATCGCCACTGCATATGCCGGTGATAACAGGATTTTTGCTTTTAGCTTTTAAATCAAGAATCTTAAAATGTTTTAAGTGTAAAAATTTAAAATGATGCAACTTGATGTAAACATATTTAAAAATGTCCCGAAAAAAGCAACATTTACGCAAAGAAATTAATTACGTCATATCAGCTAAGACAGCCCGTTTCATATGAACAGGCCCTTAGGCACTTTAATTTTATAACAAATTTAAATTTGGTTTTGAAAAGCTAATTTTAGAACTCGTTATTTCTTTGCATTATAGATACATTGTTCATGGCAATATTACTCATACAACTGTGTTTTTAATTTTAGAGACATGTCCATTAAAAGAAAATGTTTTGTTTGAAGCATTTTACTCATCGGCAGATTCATGTGCATTAAAATGTTTACAAGAACCATTCTGTGTTGGGTTCAACTTTTGGGAAGGCATAATGATGAAAGATGTAACTTGTCAATTAACTCACAAACGTCGACAGAATTATGAAATATGCACTGATAACAAGTGGATTTTCTATGAATTGCTGAATCCACAAAGAAAGGTATGATGGAAAGATATATCAACAGTTTTAAATTATTATTATTGACAAAGCTACTAATCTTGATTAATTGCACATTTGATTTATAAAGATACCATACAACAAAGAAAAGCTGTGTGAAAATGGCGGAATAATGACTGTTGACCTGAGAGACGGACCTGGTTCTGATCCTTATAGATGTCAATGTCCTTTTGGCTTTACGGGAAGATATTGCTCGGTAAAACTAAGTAAGTTAGTTAGAAAATAACAAGCAGTACAATTTCTTAAGATGGTTGCAATCTTTTACCTTCTTCCCTAATCAAATTTCACTTCACAAACAAAACATGACGAAAACATATGAATTAATAGCTACATTAAAATTTAAATGTGCTAATTTTAAGCTACCCTATATATATTCAACGACCACGACAATCACACACTTTTAAATAAAACAAAATAAAACAAATTCCGAAGACGGACGACTCGTTTTCTTGATATTCAAGATAATACAAGAGTTTGAAACAAAAGATGGAGCAATATTTCGTCTTTATTCCAAAGACATCATCGACTAATAGTTTACAATGCAGGATGCAAAACTTTCATATTATTATTTACAAGCGGAAGTGGCAGTTACTTAATTTTAGAACTATAAGACTCAACAATTAGGCAGTATACTTACATTAAAAATAGAGATAACTTCTTTCAGGCTTTGAGACCACTATTAAGTTGTGGTATATTGCGTTTTATCAAAAGAGCTTCTAAGATGAGAAGTTGATTAGGATTATTACTGTCCGTTTTCGGAATTTGTTTTGTTTTGTTCTATATATATTCTGTAGAGTAGAGCAGGTCGCAAAACGTATAATCGGCAAGCTCTGAGTTGGAGAGTAATCCGTACTTTTAATTGAAACCAAATGGTAAAACTAAATTTAAACGCAAGCACAACCCTAAACATAAAAATATTTTAGCTAAAATTTGCTGCAAAGTTTGATAAAAACTCGATTTAAAATTAAGTTGTATATTATATTTCTATTTTATGATATTAATAATATACATGAAAAAACTCCGCAATTAATTAGTATCATAAATACCAGGACAAAAAATAGAAAAAAATAAAAGAAATGCATTGCAAAGTATTTTCAAATAAAATGCGCTCCTGATTGTTTTGTCAAACAACGAAGTGACCCAAGACAAAATAATACATTTCAAGGCGAGTGGAAGTTAAATTAATATGAAAGGCGTAAGATTTAAGTAAAAATTTTTTGGCATATGAGCTTGCAGTTCACCATTTGCAAGATATTTCTGAATGAAAATATGAACATTTCAATAAGTAGCTATGTACAAATACATTGTTCTAGCTGTATGTGCGTATACTATGGTATTATGAAAAGTAATATCTGACAAAATTGAAAAATACGAGCCGGTCGATTAATGTTAATATTTTGCCGTCTAAAATGTACGTACGCTTAAGTTAAAAATCATTGGAAAATATAATTTTTTCGTGTCTTTTATCAAAACAGCTTCTTTTAACACAATTTCCACTCAAACTATTTGAAGACGTTTTTCTGTTAGATTAACCATTGAAAATCCAACTAACTATTTCACCAAAGACTTTTTTTGAAATTTGCGTGCTGATAACATTAGCAATGTTTTTAAATAACGGTACTATTTCAAAGGCAAAATACATCACCTATTCTTTACACGTAGAAACCTGAATAAGATGCTGCTGGCTGCATTGAATCACAGTATAGGGATTTACAGTAGGACCTAAATTTCATTAGATAAATGGCTGCCGTTAGCCATTTTTATTACTCCAATATATTGGTCAAAAAAGCATTTACTGGCTGCCACTATGGTAATCACATGCCTAATAAGATATGCGTGGCACGAAAAAATTTAATGGGGTGGTTCTACTGTGTAATCACTATATTTGGATTGTACAATCTCTTTTTGAATAAAGGCATTTTATTTCCAGTAGGCAATATAAGGAATTTTGATTCAACGCAAAAATCAAACACTGTACCATCTTAATTAGATGATAAATCTGCATTGTACACCTTAAACACTAAACAGGTCTGCCTGGTAAACGTGCATCTTACACTTTGAAATTGCGCACATATTTCGGCAGTTTCTTAGAGTAGGTTTTTCTTGCAACTTTTTTTGTTTCTCAATGTGCAATGGTTTTGGCAAATTCTTTTGAGATATTTTTTTATAGTTCTAAGCACATTAAATAAGATGAACTCAAAAGGGCTTTTTTCTAAATAAATTTGGTGATAAAAACTGACGCTTTTTGCATCGTTGATGCTTAAAGATATTCAGGACAATTAAAGAGAACTAGCTAAAAATAATCTTTTTCTCTAAATCTCTAGCATTTCCTAAACCAATCATTTCATTATAACTAAGATATTTTCTTGGGGATCGAGGGATATTCAAAATTTGATACAAATTGATTTATATTAAAAAGGCCTATATCTTAAGCAGGCACAAGAACAAGTGGAAACTCAGCATATTTTAATTTTTTAATTTTTTGGTCTGTTAGCACTGTTTTAATGTTTCTAAAGAACTTTTTGTTAGGTTTTTAAAAATCTTGTATAATCTGACAAACATAATCCACAGAAAGTATTTCCAAGAACAATATTAATCTGAATAATATCTTGGCTCCTAATTTGAAAGTAAATAAGAAAATGAAAATTGTTTTTCCTTCTGTTAAAGATGGCTTAATGCAAAATCAGGGAAACTATATTGCGCTGGGGATCATAAAGCATCATATAGCATCATGTAGCATTATATATAATCTGCCTTTAACAGAATTTCTTTTTCTCTTTCAAATGATATTTTCATCTGTCCAAGCTTTGGCATAATGAGTTCTCATAAACAGGGCCGAAACGAGAACGTCAATTTGAAGGGATTGTTCTTATATATTTAGCTCTGTCCGAATGAATTTGCTTGTTAAAATTATTATTTCAAGAGAAATCAATCGGACAGAGTTTATTATATGAATCCCCCCCAAAATAGCGTTCTAGTTTTGGCCCTGCTCATAACATAAAAAAGTCTATGGTACCATAGGGATGTGTCAATTCTTTTAAAGGTTTGTTCAACTGGCATCATTCAGAATAACATTGACATCGGATCAGAAATAGAATTATTAAGAATAACAAGGCAAAAGTGTAATTACATTGACCTTCATTGCCTGACATTCAAGAAAAGTAGGCTATTTTTACACCAGAGTATTTGTTTTGGTTTTCAAATTCTAAAATACGGTTTTTAAACTCTTTGGTTTCTACTACTCTGCAGAACTTGCAAAAAGGCTCAAATTTTAAGTCATTAGCTTTTCTGGAAGTATTTAGATTTTTTTACCATCATAAAATCTCTGTTTAATTTAATTCGTACAATTTTATGTTTAGTTTTTTCGTCATGCGAGGAGGCAATGAGAAATGCCAGGTATGAAAAAGTAAATTTACTATATATTTAAGTAAATAGCTTTACAGAATATTTTTTATAACTAATGTGGAACCAAAAATCAAGTAAGGTATAAACTGGTGTTTTAATCAAATATTTAAAATTTTCTGACTACCATACTTGGTATTTTTAGATAGCACAAACAGTCTATTAGAATTTGAGGTTCTATGTCATGCACATCTGATGATTAGCAATGTCAAATACACTAAGATATCGATACTTTCTATCAAATTATTTCTTGGAATAAATTCTTTTGTGATAAGAATAACTTTTCCTATTTGCTTTCTTAAACAACTTTTTAAACTCTGCAATAAGAATACGGTTCGCCAGAAAAGCTGAAACTTTAACTTCTGTTTATTACAGTTGAAGTACTCAATAGTGAGACTTTAAAAGAACATTTCATCATTTCAACATATTCTAACAATATGAATATCGTAGAAATCATAGTTGCTGTTACTTTTACTCTACTCTATCAAAAATGGTTTCGGCTTTATTTTTTTGGTCCAATATATTCACAATTTTATTCAATTTTTTTAAATGATATTGTTTAAATCGTAGGATGATTTTATTTGATTTTCTATAAATAACTTTCGTCTTAAATAGTTTAAAGGACGGGATGTACTTGATCAGCACCAACACTTTAATGGGATACAGCAAAGTTTTTTGTATGCGTAAAATAACGGGTAGCTCGGGAGAAGGCTGGACACTAGTCTTGAAAATTGATGGAACAAAGGTAAAAAGGAAATATTTTTGAATGTTTTGATAGCTAATAGAAAATTTTAAGAAATGTAATTCCTAAACACAATTATTTCTTCCTAAAAATAGTTCTTATATTAACTATGTTTATCATAAAAATGAGAATTTTATGCGAAAAAAGAAGTGAAAGTAATAAAATCTTAAAATTTCTAATGATGTTAGTTGCAGCATGGAATTCTTTTCTCATAAAAAACGCATTATCTGCATGCATTCTTATTAGACATGCTCAAATTTTTCACTTTTTAAATATTGCACATGAGAATTACTTCCAAAGGTGGATAGCACTAAAATTAAATAAAAGAAAAATTTCTTTTTCCATGCACTTTATTTATCAATGATCACTGCGATTTCTATTACATTTTCCGTAAATACTGCATTTTTGTATCAATTGCATCGCCTAAACGTTTTTCCTAAACACCAGTTATCAAGTCAAAACAGACCCCATCATAGTTATCACCTACCTAACAGATCCCTTTAATGTTTCTGCAGCATTACAACACAATGATTTATAAAGAAACTTTACTAAATTCACATATGGACAACTAGTCGAAATGACTTGAATTACAAACGTATTTTGAGCACACTATCCGGTAATCTGAATGTTTTAAATTAAACTTTTAAAAAGGAACCAAAAAATTTGCCAATTTCCTCCCTTCCCATTTTAAAAAGACATCTTCAAAGATTAGAGAATTTATCCGTCTTTATAATATTTAATCAGGTTTATTGATCATTATTTACCTAAACCATTTATTTGATCAAATATGTTTCTTTTGTGGTAATTGCTGAATACCGAATAACTTGACATTAATACAATGAAGTCCAACATCGTGGCCAGAGATTTACCAGGCAGATAGCAAATATGGGCTTTTGTATTCAGAACGAAGATTCGCTTTCGCCTGGTAATTCAAACATAGTATTTAACACCCTTGTTAACATTAAGATTACTATATTGAGACTTTAAGGCTATACTTGAAACATTAGAAAACCCTATTTCACCTCTCATGGCAATTTGTGCCTCGTTATATGCGTAGTATACCATTTAAAGTCGAATGATATAATCTATAATAATAGAACATTTTTCTTCTAAATAAGATTGCGAAACAATCTAATGCAAAAATGCTAACTGTTTTAGACCTTTTCACGTCTTTGCGGACGTTTTATAACTTGCTAAGGACCGTTCTAAGGGCAGTTCTTTTCTTGACCTAATAGCTAATAATAAATTTAAAAGAAAATTATAATATACTTCAAGTTTTATCACAGACTGCATGCACTGAGAGATTATAAATCTATGCTTTGGAGACGTGTTGAATCTTACCTTAAAAATAAAGTGAAGATCAGACAATTTAACTATAATGTTCTTAGAAATTGTTTATCCAGTGTTTTTATTGAAGTAGCTTATATACTACTTCACCAATTAGACGGAATACGTAAACTTTTATGTTTAACTGAATTAATTAAATTTTTGTAAATTAAAAAGATTACTTGATTTCTTTCAACTTGTGCGTAAGTAAATCATCGGCACTCCTTGATCATGAAGTGATCTGCGCAGACTGTCAAATTGATCAGATTGCGTTAAAAATCACCAGAACTAGGCATACCAAATCAGAAACGCAAAAAAGTTACAATTTTGGGGCATCCATTGTAGTTTTAATAATTGCGTTAAATTTCTGTCTCATGACAATTTTAAGGTGCATATTATTTATTACACTACCTTTAGCTAATGCATGCACCATCAGTTCAGTGACATTAGCCGAATGCCACCCTAAAGAAGAACTCACGGTTTATCACTATAGTGGTCATTTGGAATACCATTTGGCTTCCCACTCTGTGAGTTTGGGAAAACTGTTAACTGATTTTAATGTTTAGCAATATGACGTCGTTTCGTCCAGGGCTTTATACAACTAGGACTTGCCTCTTTAAGATATTCCTTTTAATTCGAGTAGATTCGTCTTAAAAGAATTTGACCATTTGTTATATTAAACGAATGGTCAAATAAACGCTGTTTATTCAAGGTTTTTTTCTTTCGTTTATGATACGAATTTATTAAATTTAGAAAACGTTCCGATATAATTCACCGCTTTGGAGCAACAAGGAGAGTTATATGATTGAAAATGGTGAAACTGGATTAGGTCAAAATGAAACAAAACTTCCTACTTACTGGAGCACTAAAATAAAGAAGATGTGTGTTGGAATGAAAGTAAACAGTAAAATAAAATTCATAGGTTTTGAAATGCAAGCTAAGTCCTTATACGACCTCATTGCTGACGGAAAATATAGGAAAACCACTTTGAGCCGTAGCCAATGGTTGAAATTAGTTGAAAGCAGCTCCCTTCAACAATACTGTGATAGAGAAGGCTTTAACGTCGTTGGAGAAAGTGGTGGACACGCTCGTGTAAAGCTTGGCATTTTGGGAAATGAACAAAACGACTGTATTACACCTGACTCTTTCATTGGCTTTGGTGGTTCTTATGAATGTAAATCTTGCGGTGCAAACAGCTGTGGTAATTTTGCTACTTGGAGTAGCAATGACAAACAAGTTAGAGCTATGGGATATATTTTTGTTATTTAGTACCTGTAATACAGGCAACGCTTGACGTTTTAATTGTCTCATGCTCCTCATGGAAATACAAAACTAAGCCAAATTGTAAAAGTTATTCTTCATTAAAATAAGAACAATTCTTAAGCTTAAGATTAAGAAGAAATCTTCTAGTTTTTATGCGAACGTTGTTTTTGAACAAAAAGTAACTGCAGCTCTCATATTATAAAATATTGAATGACATATCTGAAATTAAACTTTAAAAAAATTAAATTTTGCAAATAAATGAATTTTTATAATTCTCATCGAAATGCAAGAATTTCTTTGTATTTCCAAAATATACTATAAGTATGTAGCTTTCATGTCGAACAATTCTTTTAAATGCAGGAGAACAGTCAAAAATTGCAGTTGACTGTTAGAGTTAATTAATTGTTAATTGAGTAGTCAGTTGCAAGAGAACAGTCAGAATTTCTATGAAGTAGCCTTGATTGTTCGTTTAGGAGTAGCCAGCACTTAAATCTAGTTCTGTCCTGAAAATTTTGTGTGATCAAATCCTCACCAAACTAATAATTTTAATGTTCTGACATTTACACAAGACCAAAACTTGCTGGAATTTGATACGCTTCTTCTTTTATGAGCTGCGACTTGGTGGCAAAGCTAGCCCAATCTTTCGTTTTTTTACAGTGCAAATTTTTCATCTAACTATTTATCATATTTTTATGAAGTTAATTCACTTTATTCTATTTTTAAGTTACTGAAGGGAAATTTTTGCGTTTTGGAAGTAAAAAATGAAAATTTTGCTATTTAAATTATGATTGCAATGACCGTGAGTTTTGAAATGACGATGCATTTTCTAAAACAGTCAATGCATACCTCCTTTCGTTTGCGAGATAATGAAGTTTTGTTATTTCCATTTTATCTAACTTGTGACGTCATATTACATGAGCTCCTACATTGTTTCAAATACTCTTCTGTTTCCCGAAAACTTTAGGTTGATACTAATAGGCAGCATTTTATACCATAAACCACGTCACGCTAAAGGGAACTTAGTCTTTGTGAAGTAGTCCTAGTTCTCATTATGCAATATGACGTCACAAGATAAATTGGAGAATGCAAAAACCTCAAAATCGCAAAAATTTAAAGTGATATGCGTAAACTGTTTTAAGATGTACATTGTCATTTAAAAGGATTTCTTCAGTAAACGTAGAGATGAAAAAGCAAATTTCCATGTCATAGGCACTTTAATGGAGTAGACGATTTGAATAGTAGCTATCAATCATAAGATAAAATATTCAAAAATTTAACCTTTAAATTAATTTTCCTCACACCATACCCGTTTTCCTCTGTCTTTAGAAAGCTTGCAAAATGTTTGATAACAAAAATACTTTATTACATTAGCTAAACATGTAAAGAGAAAAAAAAAATACTAGCCACTTGCATGAAAATGCCGATGATAGCATTATTATATTATAAAGCATGACTTCAAATCGATTGAACAGTCATATTTTGCACCTTTAAGTTGACTAACTGCGGCTAAAAATCTTTGAGTAAATTTATATCACAAAAGTGCATTAGATTAGAAAGATGATTATTTTTTGTAGCGTGACATGTATTTGCAATGATTAACCCAATGCTGATTAAATATTTCTTCGTTGTTTTTATTACTAACTCATGAAAGCAACCCTCCGTCTGTAAATTAATGTTTATATAAATCACGTATGTATAACAGTATTTAATCTATGTTTGCTTAATTTTTGTTTAAATATTTTCTTTTTAATATAGGAAAAAGTTTTTGTTCTACATTTTGCTTTCACTCCGTGCTTTCAATAATAATGCACAAGATTCGATACAAAAGCTAAATTTCAAAAACTAAAATCTTAAGCGATGGCTTCTTAAAATATAAGAGCATCAGAAATGCTTGGACCCGGGATCTGGGGGCCTGACGCCACTGGCTGAATGACAAATAAATCATATTTAGAACCAGATGAATTTATCGATCTTTTTAAAAGATCATTGGTATTGCCTCTCATAGCATATACCAAACTATTGATTTGTACTTTATCATATTTTTCGTCTAAGCCAGCTGCGATGCGATAACATTCGAATCGTTCAATCCATCGCTTCCAATCTTTGGGCTTTTCGATTCGAATTTTTATGGCAATGGAATTTGTGTTTGAAATGCCATTTAAATTTATCTCCACGTCTCTTGTCCACTGGTCTTTACCATTTTAGACAGAATCCCATCTCTACCACCATGTAGAGTTTATATTAAGTGCCCTCTTATCTAAATGTCCTCTCTATATATATACATTATAAGCGGAAGTAATATTCAACAGGAAGTGACGTCTACACATACACAAACACAATTTGGCCAAGGAGAATGATAAATTAGTCGACGAAGAATACCAGACTTCCTGAAGTTTTCCCCATCTGGGTCCAGTTCTTTCACCAAAATTCTGACCGTTTTGCGCGGAAACTGCATCCCTTTTAACTTCAAGGAATGAGTAATGGAACGATAACCACTGGAATTTCAAGGTCCATCGAGTTCCTGCCGAATACCCTGGCAAACACTGTTCAAATTAAACTCATTGTTTTTTCTTCGTAAGCTGAGCGATCGAAGTCTTCAGTGTAAAGTTCGCAAAGACATATTAATACCATGATATCGTCTTAAGAGAAGCAGAATTTTTCATATGCATAAGCTTGCGTAAAATAGTTCTTAATTACATCGTCTTCGCCTTTAGGAGCTTCTTCGTTTTCCTGCATTTTAATTTGTGGTTGTTTGTATGAACTTTGGTTTTGCATTGCGATAATTGGGGCCGGTTGTATAAAGCTCTTAACTACTTTTAACTACACTTTTTGCAGTTAAAAAGTAGTTAAATTTAACCACGGTTAAGTCGGTTGTATAAAAAAGTAGTTAGCGCTAACTGCAGTAAAAAGGTAGTTGAAGTTAACTACAAAAAGGCACTACAGTATAAATGTTGTACTTAATATACCAATGATAATACATATAGATACGTGAGCTTTACAAAAGATTTTATTCATGACTACCATTTTGTGTATCAGCTGCATGAGATGAAATGATTTTAGTTTTTTAAATACGTAAAAAATTTCATTACCATGCAGTTTTAAGGTCCATGTTGCTTGATATATGTACAACATCCATTGCACATGGTTTATTACACAAGCAGTAAAATACACGACAGTCGATTAGTGGGTTTTATTGATATTTCATCATATATTTCCTATGTAAAATGTTTATTTTAATGTACATACAATCTTGCCTACCAATATTTTTCTAAGAAGCAGAAATCTCTAGCTACTGTTTGATGATTTGAATAGTAGAAAAAATGAATAAAACTCCCAAGCTTTAGACAAAAATAGGTTAATAAATCACAAAGCAAAATAAGAGTTTCATAACTAAGGTTCATTAACAAATATACCCAATAGTTTTTATAACTTAGTTTTTTGCAAGGAAGAATTAAGAACAAAAAAGTATTTTGTGTATATCTGTGAATATAGCATGTAACAAGCAGTGAAAAGACAGTTGCTGGATTACATGGCTACTAACTATGATGACTCGAAGAAATGTTTTCTAATAATAAAAATAGTCCATCGCTGTCATCTTTTAAAAATATGTGTGACTCATGTCTGTACAAGCGCATTTCTTTGAAGTATTTTACTCAGCTGCTACAAAGATAAACGAAACGACCTTTTCATTTGCTACCCTCATCACCCAATTTTAAATTATGTAAAAGCAAGGCCATTTAAATATTTAAATACTTGTACATAGAACACCATATGAATAAATTTGAGAAGAGTTCATTGTTTCGTTTGCCCAAGTCCATTGTATACAATTGGTACATGAAAGAAAGCAGTCCTTGCCGAGACACATATCATTCATCAACATCGTACTGTACGACACAGAAGATAAGGGTCGATTTTCTTAAGAAAAGTTCAATGTATATGATACAATTTAATTCGGTTACCATGTCACCGTGAATCGTTTATTAAATTTTCTTTTGCATCATCAACATCCGTAAAACGACAATAGTTTACCATATTTTAAGAATTTTACATAAGCGAAGAGATTTTCTTCATTTTGAAGTCATTTTATAGTTCACTTGCCCGCCATTACAAAGCATAATTTGATTAAACTTTATGTCATTTAACGTAAACAACACTCCACACAAGTTAATTACGCAGTTACTTAACTTTCAGACTAACTACGTTTTGTGCAACGCAGTTAAGTTGAACAGTTAAGTTACTACAGTTAAGGAGTTAACTACAGTAGTTAGCGTTAACTATAGTTAAAGTTAATTGCGTTTTATAAAACCGGCCCCCGGTTTTGTGCATTTGGTCAGTTTTATTTTGCATTGCAATATTTAATTTGTTGATAACTTATATTTTAATTTGCATCGTGGCTAAATTGTTGTTCATTAAATTTAAGGGGATGTTTGTATATTGACAAATTAGTTTGTGAATTGCAGATACGGGCAACCGTAAATTATACATAAGTAAAACGACAAATAATTTCAGTTCTAGCAAACACGTATGATGTTTTAGATCGTAAGAACACACGTTGACTGATCTTGAAATCAGTAAAAACTGATAAAACATTGTTCTGATTTTTGTCTTAAAACCTTTTTGTTGAGCATATTCTTGAATATATACATCCATATTTTAAAAATAATGTAAAAACATTCATTCAGCTGCTCAAACAAATTTTAATTATTTAAAGGACGTTTTGGACAGTATATAAAACGTAGATGCATATAGATATATGCGTCACGTTCATTGAAGTTATACATTTAATTTTACATTCGCAAACTGTTATAGTGTCGATCTTTGAATATGTTTTCTTCTTTGTCGGCATATGTTCCGATTGCAACATATATAATCACAATTGCTTTAGAAGTATATTGTGGTATTACTGAAAAACCATACTGCGTTTGCTGAAAACGGTTAGTCTGTGTAATGTTTAAAGTTTTATTTTAAAGCCATCATTTTGAATTTATCTTTAAATTTTACAAATTACAGATATTTTTCGTGTATAAATCTATACATTTTTCATGTGCATGAGTGCAGTTGTCTTTGATAGTTTATGCAAGAGACGCGCCAGAAAGATATCTTTAATCCTTAGGGCCTGTTCATATGACACGGGCTAGCTACGTTTGCTGGGATCTCACCTCATATATTATTTCACTGTATATTTAAAGTTGCGTTCATATGAAAAGCGGGCGAGCCCGGCTTGGTGAGATCACGCTTCAATGAAGCGAATAAAATTGCTTTTTACAAAAATAATCTAGTGAGCTTTGTGTGGCTTTTTAATTGGTATATGTTTCCCATCTATTGACTCCATTGCTGGAATTATTCTAAACTTAGCTTTGAACTCAGATACTATAATTTTCGTTTCTTCACAATCACGGGGCAAGTAGATGTATTTTGGTCCAAGATTTGTAGAAATTGTCTTGCATACTTCTCCAATTACAACAGAAGCTGTATTTATTGCTATCCCGAATGTATTGGCTGTAATTGACAGGAAGCCAGTATCTTTGAGATAATACAAACTTACTGCAAGTTTTTTTTTTCAGTGGACAGTGAGCGATAATTTGGCAACAAATTTTCTCCCACCATTTTTTTTTGTTCCTCTAGCCTAAACCAAGCATCTCTTCTTCTTTCGTAGCAATATTCCTCCTCTTGCATATTAAACTTTTCATAACTAGCAGATCGTCTTCTCGATGAAATTCTCATAATCGCATCGTTCTTGTGCTTAACATGTGTTTCGCGAGTCAAAAGAACCATGTTCATTTGAAAAACGAATGAAATAATTCTTCCTATCGCCACTGCAATTGCCGGTGATAACATGATTTTTGCTTTTAGCTTTTAAATCAAGAATCTTAAAATGTTTTAAGTGTAAAAATTTAAAATGATGCAACTTGATGTAAACATATTTAAAAATGTCCCGAAAAAAGCAACATTTACGCGAAGAAATTAATTACGTCATATCAGCTAAGACAGCCCGTTTCATATGAACAGGCCCTTAGGCACTTTAATTTTATAACAAATTTAAATTTGGTTTTGAAAAGCTAATTTTAGAACTCTTTATTTCTTTGCATTATAGATACATTGTTCATGGCAATATTACTCATACAACTGTGTTTTTAATTTTAGAGACATGTCCATTAAAAGAAAATGTTTTGTTTGAAGCATTTTACTCATCGGCAGATTCATGTGCATTAAAATGTTTACAAGAACCCTTCTGTGTTGGGTTCAACTTTTGGGAAGGCATAATGATGAAAGATGTAACTTGTCAATTAACTCACAAACGTCCACAGAATTATGAAATATGTACTGATAACAAGTGGATTTTCTATGAATTGCTGAATCCACAAAGAAAGGTATGATGGAAAGATATATCAACAGTTTTAAATTATTTTTATTGACAAAGCTACTAATCTTGATTAATTGCACATTTCATTTATAAAGATACCATACAACAAAGAAAAGTTGTGTGAAAATGGCGGAATAATGACTGTTGACCTGAGAGACGGACCTGGTTCTGATCCTTACAGATGTCAATGTCCTTTTGGCTTTACGGGAAGATATTGTTCGGTAAAACTAAGTAAGTTAGTTAGAAAATAACAAGCAGTACAATTTCTTAAGATGGTTGCAATCTTTTGCCTTCTTCCCTAATCAAATTTCACTTCACAAACAAAACATGACGAAAACATATGACTTAATAGCTACATTAAAATTTAAATGTGCTAATTTTAAGCTACCCGATATATATTCAACGACCACGACAATCAGACACTTTTAAATAAAACAAAATAAAACAAATTCCGAAGACGGACGACTCGTTTTCTTGATATTCAAGATAATACAAGAGTTTGAAACAAAAGATGGAGCAATATTTCGTCTTTATTCCAAAGACATCATCAGACTAATAGTTTACAATGCAGGATGCAAAACTTTCATATAATTATTTACAAGCGGAAGTGGCAGTTACGTAATTTTAGAACTATAAGACTCAACAATTAGGCAGTATACTTACATTAAAAATAGAGATAACTTCTTTAGGCTTTGAGACCACTATTAAGTTGTGGTGTATTGCGTTTTATCAAAAGAGCTTCTAAGATGAGAAGTTGATTAGGATTATTACTGTCCGTTTTCGGAATTTGTTTTGTTTTGTTCTATATATATTCTGTAGAGTAGAGCAGGTCGCAAAACGTATAATCGGCAAGCTCTGAGTTGGAGAGAGTAATCCGTACTTTTTAATTGAAACCAAATGGTAAAAAATAAATTTAAACGCAAGCACAACCCTAAACATAAAAATATTTTAGCTAAAATTTGCTGCAAAGTTTGATAAAAAACTCGATTTAAAATTAAGTTGCTATTTTGTATTTCTTTATGACCTTATTAATAACATACATGAAAAAACTCCACAATTAATTAGTATCATAAATACCAGGACAAAAAATAGAAAAAAATAAAAGAAATGCATTGCAAAGTATTTTCAAATAAAATGCGCTCCTGATTGTTTAGTCAAACAACGAAGTGACCCAAGACAAAATAATACATTTCAAGGCGAGTGGAAGTTAAATTAATATGAAAGGCGTAAGATTTAAGTAAAATTTTTTTGGTATATGAGCTTGCAGTTCACCGTTTGCAAAATATTTCTGAATGGAAATATAAACATTTCAATAAGTAGCTATGTACAGTTACATTGTTCTAGCTGCATGTGCATAAACTATGGTATTATAAAAAGTGATATCTGACGAAATTGAAAAATACGATCCGGTCGATTAATGTTAATATTTTGCCGGCTAAAATGTACGTACGCTTAAGTTAAAAATCATTGGAAAATATAATTTTTTCGTGTCTTTTATCATTAATAAAATATAGCTTCTCGAGAAAAGAGTTTATCGTCTTTTGAACTCGTGCAATTTTGATAGTCTTTGAAAAAATTCACTCGAGCATGTTTTTCCTGAATTGCACTCGAAATCATACTTTTACCTAAACTTATTGCAATTTTCCTAAACTTTTATTAACTACTAATATTTGGACTAATTTACTTTTAAATTTATGCCTAAATCGAGAGGATTGTAAAAATAGACATTCAAAAAGGAAAAATCCAAAATAACCGCAATTTGAAAGCTATGCTTTGGCTTGCACATCAGCCAATTTCCTTTAAAACTTTAACTGCTTGAAGAATAGTTGTCATATTTTCTAAGTCATTTTCGTGTGCATGCTATTTCAAAACAGCTTCTTTTAACACAATTTCCACTCAAACTATTTGAAGACGTTTTTCTGTTAGATTAACCATTGAAAGTCCAACTAACTATTTCACCAAAAACTTTTTTTGAAATTTGCGTGCTGATAACATTAGCAATGTTTTTAAATAACGGTACCATTTCAAAGGCAAAATACATCACCTATTCTTTACACGTAGAAACCTGAATAAGATACTGCTGGCTGCATTGAATCACACTATAGGGATTTACAGTAGGACCTAAATTTCATTAGATAAATGGCTGCCGTTAGCCATTTTTATTACTCCAATATATTGGTCAAAAAAGCATTTGACTGGCTGCCACTATGGTAATCACATGCCTAATAAGATATGCGTGGCACAAAAAAATTAAATGAGGTGGTTCTACTGTGTAATCACTATATTGGGATTGTACAATCTCTTTTTGAATAAATGTATTTTATTTCCAGTAGGCAATATAAGGAATTTTGATTCAACGCAAAGATCAAACACTGTACCATCTGAATTAGATGATAAACCTGCATTGTACACCTTAAACAATAAACAGGTCTGCCTGGTAAACTGCATCGTACACTTTGAAATTGGGCACATATTTCGGCAGTTTCTTAGAGTAGGTTTTTCTTGCAACTTTTTTTGTTTCTCAATGTGCAATGGTTTTGGCAAATTCTTTTGAGGTATTTTTTTCATAGTTCTAAGCACATTAAATAAGATGAACTCAAAAGGGCTTTTTTCTAAAATAATTTGGTGATAAAAACTGACGCTTTTTGCATTGTTGATGCTTAAAGATATTCAGGACAATTAAAGAGAACTAGCTAAAAATAATCTTTTTCTCTAAATCTCTAGCATTTCCTAAACCAATCATTTCATTATAACTAAGACATTTTCTTGGGGATCAAGGGATATTCAAAATTAGATACAAATTGATTTATATTAAAAAGGCCTATATCTTAAGCAGGCACAAGAACATGTGGAAACTCAGCATATTTTAATTTTTTAGCATGGTCTGTTAGCACTGTTTTAATGTTTCTAACGAACTTTTTCTTAGGTTTTTAAAAATCTTGTACAATCTGACAAACATAATCCACAGAAAATATTTCCAAAAACAATATTAATCTGAATAATATCTTGCTCCTAATTTGAAAGTAAATAAGAAAATGAAAATTGTTTTTCCTTCTGTTAAAGATGGCTTAAATGCAATATCAGGGAAACTATATTGCGCTGTGGATCATAAAGCATCATATAGCATCATGTAGCATTATATATAATCTGCCTTTAACAGAATTTCTTTTTCTCTTTCAAATGATATTTTCATCTGTCCAAGCTTTGGCATAATGAGTTCTCATAAACAGGGCCGAAACGAGAACGTTAATTTGAGGGGATTGTTCTTATATATTCAGCTCTGTCCGAATGAATTTGTTTGTTAAAATTATTATTTCAAGAGAAATCAGTCGGACAGAGTTTATTATATGAATCCCCCAAAATAGCGTTCTAGTTTTGGCCCTTCTCATAACATGAAAAAGTCTATGGTGCCATAGGGATGTGTCAATTCTTTTAAAGGTTTGTTCAACTGGCATCACTCAGAATAACATTGACATCGGATCAGAAATAGAATTATTAAGAATAACAAGGCAAAAGTGTAATTACATTGACCTTCATTGCCTGACATTCAAGAAAAGTAGGCTATTTTTACACCAGAGTATTTGTGTTGGTTTTCAAATTCTAAAATACGGTTTTTAAACTCTTTGGTTTCTACTACTCTGCAGAACTTGCAAAAAGTCTCAAATTTTAAGTCATTAGCTTTTCTGGAAGTATTTAGATTTTTTACCATCACAAAATCTCTGTTTAATTTAATTCGTACAATTTTATGTTTAGTTTTTTCGTCATGCGAGGAGGCAATGAGAAATGCAAGGTATAGAAAAGTAAATTTACTATATATTTAAGTCAATAACTTTACAGAATATTTTTTATAACTAATGTGGAACCAAAAATCAAGTAAGGTATAAACTGGTGTGTTAATCAAATATTTAAAATTTTCTGACTACCATACTTGGTAGTTTTAGATAGCACAAACAGTCTATTAGAATTTGAGGTTCTATGTCATGCACATCTGATGATTAGCAATGTCAAATACACTAAGATATTGATACTTTCTATCAAATTATTTCTTGGAATAAATTCTTTTGTGATAAGAATAACTTTTCCTATTTGCTTTCTTAAACAACTTTTTAAACTCTGCAATAAGAATACGGTTCGCCAGAAAAGTTGAAACTTTAACTTCTGTTTATTACAGTTGAAGTACTCAATAGTGAGACTTTAAAAGAACATTTCGTCATTTCAACATATTCTAACAATATGAATATCGTAGAAATCATAGTTGCTGTTACTTTTACTCTACTCTATCAAAAATGGTTTCGGCTTTATTTTTTTGGTCCAATAAATTCACAATTTTATTCACTTTTTTTAAATGATATTGTTTATATCGTAGGACGATTTTATTTGATTTTCTCTAAATAACATTCGTCTTAAATAGTTTAAAGGACGGGATGTACTTGATCAGCACCAACACTTTAATGGGATACAGCAAAGTTTTTTGTATGCGTAAAATAACGGGTTGCTCGGGAGAAGGCTGGACACTAGTATTGAAAATTGATGGAACAAAGGTAAAAAGGAAATATTTTAGAATGTTTTGATGGATAATAGAAAATTTTAGGAAATATAATTCCTAAACACAATTATTTCTTCCTAAAAATAGTTCTTATATTAACTATGTTTATCATAAAAATGATACATTTTATGCGCAAAAAGAAGTGAAAGCAAAAAAATCTTAAAATTTCTAATGATGTTAGTTACAGTATGGAATTCTTTTCTCATAAAAAACGCATTATCTGCATGCATTCTTATTAGACATATTAAAATTTTTCACTTTTTAAATATTGCACATGAGAATTACTTCCAAAGGTGGATAGCACTAAAATTAAATAAAAGAAAAGTTTTTTCCATGCACTTTATTTATCAATGATCACTGCGATTTTCTATGACTCTTTCCGTAAATACTGTATTTTTGTATCAATTGCATCGCCTAAACGTTTTTCCTAAACACCAGTTATCAAGTCAAAACAAACCCCATCATAGTTTTCACCTACATATCAGATCCCTTTAATATTTCTGCAGCATTACAACACAATGATTTATAAAGGAAACTTTACTAAATTCACATATGGACAACTAGTCGAAATGACTCGAATTACGAACGTATTTTGAGCACACTATCCGACAAACTGCATGTTTTAAATTAAACTTTTAAAAAGGAACCGAAAAATTTACCAATTTGCTCCCTTCCCATTTTAAAAAGACATCTTCAAAGATTAGAGAATTTATCCGTCTTTATAATATTTAATCAGGTTTATTGAGCATTATTTACCTAAACCATTCATTTGATCAAATATGTTTCTTTTGTGGCAATTGCTGAATATCGAACAACTTGACATTAATACAATGAAGTCCAACATCGTGGCCAGAGATTTACCAGGCAGATAGCAAATATGGGCTTTTGTATTCAGAATGAAGATTCGCTTTTGCCTGGTAATTCAAACATTGTATTTAACACCCTTGTTAACATTAAGATTACTATATTGAGACTTTAAGGCTATACTTGAAACATTAGAAAATCCTATTTCACCTCTCATGGCAATTTGTGCCTCGTTATATGTGTAGTATACCATTTAACGTCGAATCATATAATCTATAATAATAGAACATTTTTCTTCTAAATAAGATTGCGAAACAATCTAATGCAAAAATGCTAACTGTTTTAGACCTTTTCACGTCTTTGCGGACGCTTTATAACTTGGTAAGGAGCGTTCTAAGGGCAGTTATTTTCTTGACCTAATAGCTAATAAGAAATTTAAAAAAATTATAATATACTTCAAGTTTTATCATAGACTGAGAGATTATAAATCTATGCTTTGTAGACGTGTTAAATATTACCTTAAAAATAAAGTGAAGATCAGACAATTTAACTATAATGTTCTTAGAAATTGTTTATCCAGTGTGTTTATTGAACTAGCTTATATACTACTTCACCAATTAGACGGAATACGTAAACTTTTATATTTAACTGAATTAATTAAATTTTTGTAAATTAAAAAGATTACTTGATTTCTTTCAACTTGTACGTAAGTAAATCATCGGCACTCCTTGACCATGAAATTATCTGCACAGACTGTCAAATTTATCAGATTACGTTAAAAATCACCAGAACTAGGCATACCAAATCAGAAACGCAAAAAAGTTACAATTTTGGGGCATCCATTCTAGTTTTAATAATTGCGTTAAATTACTGTCTCATGCCAATTTTAAGGTGCATACTATTTATTACACTACCTATAGCTAATGCCTGCACCATCAGTTCAGTGACATTAGCCGAATGTCACCCTAAAGAAGAACTCACGGTTTATCACTAAAGTGGTCATTTGGACTACCATTTGGCTTCCCACTCTGTGAGTTTGGGAAAACTGTTAACTGATTTTAATGTTTAGCAATATGACGTCGTTTCGTCCAGGGCTTTATACAACTAGGACTTGCCTCTTTAAGATATTTCTTTTAATTGGAGTAGATTCGTCTTAAAGGAATTTGAGCATTTGTTATAATAAACGAATGGTCAAATAAACGCTGTTTTTTCAATTTTTTTTCATTCGTTTATGATACGAATTTATTAAATTTAGAAAACCTTCCGATATAATTCGCAGCTTTGGAGCAACAAGGAGAGTTATATGACGGAAAATGGTGAAACTGGATTAGATCAAAATGAAACAAAACTTCCTACTTACTGGAGCACTAAAATAAAGTTGATGTGTGTTGGAATGAAAGTAAACAGTACAATAAAATTCATAAGTTTTGAAATGCAAGCTAAGTCCTTATACGACCTCATTGCTGATGGAAAATATAGGAAAACCAATTTGAGTCGTAGCCAATGGTTGACATTAGTTAAAAACAGCTCCCTTCAACAATACTGTAATAAAGAAGGCTTTAACGTCGTTGGAGAAAATAGAGGTACCACTCGTGTAAAGCTTGGCATTTTGGGAAATAATGAAAATGACTGTAAATCACCTGACTCTTTCATTGGCTTTGGTGGATCTTATGAAGGTAATTTTTGTGGCCGCAAACCTCAAGTGAACAGCTGTGGTAATATATATTATTGCTCGAAGAAAAACAAAGAAATTAAAGCAATGGGATACCTTTTTATTGCTTAGTTGTGGCTTGATATTTATTATTGTTTGGTTTTGTTCATTCTTTTAGAAATACTGCACTGAATAAAGACTGAATTAATTAAAATAGAAAATTCACGTTTTATAGTCCATAAGTTTAAAGCTGTAAAAGTTATACATCTGTAACTTCTTTAAATTATAAAGTAAATGGTTTGAAACCGGGAGTATCGTTATATGTTTGTAAATGATGATCGTCCAGGTTAATAAAGTCCTGAGAAAGACTGTTATTGTTGTTGTTGACTGACGTTTCGATAACCTTAGCGGTAGTCATCTTCAGAGTCAAATGAGGAGTAAACGTCAGGTTAGCCGTATTTGTTGTCTGGTTCTTACGTCATTGTATTGTGTGTACAGGAAATGTGCAGTAAATGTGTATTGTCATTGTGGATTAGTGTGAAGTGAAATATTTTTTTTTAGTTGTGATGTGTGATTTAGGTGTGACGTTTTTAGTTGTAGTGTGTGGGTGTCAATTGTGTATTGTCATTGTGAATTAGTGTGAAGTGTAATGTTTTTAGTTGATAGTTTGTTTGTATTGTGAATAAGTCGTTTGTAAGGTGCCGGTAATTGCTGTGATCTGTTCAGGAGGGTTTGTTCCAAGTTGGTATACCAACTTTCTAATGTAAGCCGTTGTCTATAGTCAGTACTGTAAGTAATGCATTTTGCCGAGTGCCAGTCAATGTTGTGCTTTGTGATTCGGTGATGTTCGGCAATGTGATTAGTTTTGTCTTGTTTCTTAGTAGCTCGTTTGTGCTCAGTAAGTCTTATGTTTAAGTTCCTGCCAGTTTCCCCAATATAGGAGGCGTGGCAGTCGGAGCAGTTTATTTTGTAAACTGCACCTTGTCGCTCGTTGGGTTGTCCTTATGTTCGTTAGTACTTGTCGTAACGTTGTGATTGGTTTATGTGCGACACGTATGTTGTATGGTCGTAAGATACGCGAGGTAGTCTCAGACGTACCTTTGATGTAAGGTATCGTTGCTGTTGTCACTGAGTTGTTCGTTTCGTTGGGTTCGTTGGGTTTGTAAGTGTTGCGTTTGATAAAGTCAGAGTTATAGTTGTTTTTGTCAAAAACACGTTTTAGATAGTTGTTTTCGCTGTGTAGAGCGTCCAGTGAATCACATATGATTTGTGCACGTACTGCTCCGCCTGACACGCATCCTATATCGGGAAACTGGCAGGATTTAAACATAAGACTTACTGAGCTCAAACGAGCTACTAAGAAACAAGACAAAAATAATCCCATTGCCGAACATCACCAAATCACAAAGCATAACATTGACTGGCACTCGGCAAAATGCATTACTTACAGTACTGACTATAGACAACGGCTTACATTAGAAAGTTGGTATACCAACTTGGAACAAACCACCCTGAACAGATCACAGCAATTACCGGCACCTTACAAACGACTTATTCACAATACAAACAAACTATCAACTAAAAACATTACACTTCAAACTAATTCACAATGACAATACACAATTGACACCCACACACTACAACTAAAAACGTCACACCTAAATCACACATCACAACTTAAAATAAAATATTTCACTTCACACTAATCCACAATGACAATACACATTTCCTGCACATTTCCTGTACACACAATACAATGACGTAAGAACCAGACAACAAATACGGCTAACCTGACGTTTACTCCTCATTTGACTCTGAAGATGACTACCGCTAAGGTTGTCAAAACGTCAGTCAACAACAACAAAAACAGTCCTTCTCAGGACTTTATTAACCTGGACGATCATCATTTACAAACATATTCTTTAAATTATGCGTCTGAACATGAATCAAATTGTCAGTTAGCGTTTTTGGATGTTTTTGTCCATAAACGCAATGGTAAATTCCTTACAAGTGCTTATCGCAAGGCAACTTTTACGGGTTTGTACACACGCTTTGACTTTTTCTTCACACAGAGAAAAGATTTCTTTATTAAAATTGTTTAATAAAGCAAACGCTTAGACTGTCTCCAAAGGAGTTCATTGAGGGTGATCTTAACTTATTGAAAAAGATATTTCTCTTAAATGGAATTTCAGAAAAAAATGCTTGATAAATTTTTCTCATGCACAAAAAAAAAAATTGAACAGAACAGGCCTTTTGGACCAGCTGTGTTTATCAAACTTTCATGGATGGGTAAGGCTTCTGATGATATTGAAAGGGAAACTAAGAATATTACGAAGAATTTGTTTTTTGCAAGCAATGTTATCTTTATATTTTCGAAAACAACTAGTTGACCACCCACCCCAAAAGAATCTATACCGGCACAACTTTTAAGCAATGTAATTTATGAATATAAATATGAGTGTGATGCTCGCTACGTAGGTACAACGTCTCAAATGTTGGGTGATAGGATCAAACAGCATGTACCCACTTCAATCAGAAATGGAACGGTCCCTCAAGACAACAAACAGAGCGTGATTGTAAGAAAAGTAATTTAGTTTCATGTGACTCCGCGATAGGTAAACATTTCTTGAATAACTCTCATTGTGCTGATTGTTATTCACACATGACAATTCTAGAATCATTAAGAAATTCCGTTCATTCTTTCAGTTGCGTGTTATGGAAGCTGTTTTAGTTAAGTTAACCAGTCTCGTCCTCTGCTGACAAAAAGATTATGTTTTTAATTTATCCCTATTTTCACCGTCATCTCCCCTTTTAGAGATGACATACACTCTTTCTTGGCACTATAAATATCGGTAGATTGTAACTTTTAATTTAGCAGACGTCGACACCTGAAGAGTAGTCTGCCGAAATGCATCGTTAAGTCTAATTTAGAATTACTGGGTTAGTGCTCTTTACTTAAAACAGCTCTTTTTAGAACTAACAATTTATTATATTACTTTTACCATCCACTATGGCATTTGCTATCTTTAGAAACTTTTTCAGTAAACAAAATGTTTTTCTTTGTTCTAAAAAGCAATGTTTGATTTCCTTTGAATGTGGACTTCTTTCAAAAGCTGCCTGGTCTTGCCCTCCCACCCTGGAGGCGAAAAAAATTGGTAGCAGTATATTTTTAGAAAAGGTTTTGTTTTGACTAATTTGCTTATATCTGTAAAAGACTTAACCAGAGGTCCCAATGACTTTGAATTTAATCTATGTCCTTGACAAAATTTTAGAGTTATTCCAAAGAAAGTAAAAATTTTAACAATTTTCTGGCACTAACCAAAAATCTACACAAACGCCCTGATAAGTGGAAAACGACCCCCCCATGCTTTTTAAATGGCTATTGGTTTAAAACCGGGTTCTTATCGGTCATTGCAAGCAATAGGCATTATTACCATCACACTATTTCTATGAAGATGACCAAATCTGTTTATTTTTAATTATTGTATCAGCGTAAATGCCACTTTATTTGTAAAATTTATATTTCAAAACTATTTTTTAGTATGCAGAAAGTTAACGCTATTTTTATATATCTTCCTTTTGTTCATGAGGCATGTTAAGTTATAAATCTTAGATCACCTACATGTTAACTCACATTTATTAAATTTAAAAAACGTTCCAATATAGTTCATTGCTTTGGAGCAACCAAGAGATATATATGATTGAAAATGGTGAAACTGGATTAGATCAAAATGAAACAAAACTTCCTACTTACTGGAGCACTAAAATAAAAATGATGTGTGTTGGAATGAAAGTAAACAATGCAATAAAATTCATAAGTTTTGAAATGCAAGCTAAGTCCTTATACGACCTAATTGCTGACGGAAAATATACGAAAACCACTTTGAGCCGTAGTAGATGGTTGACATTAGTTAAAAACAGCTTCCTTCAACAATACTGTGATAGAGAAGGCTTTAACGTCGTTGGAAAAAGTAGTAGACACGCTCGTGTAAAGCTTGGCATTTTGGGAAATGAACAAAACGGCTGTATTACACCTGACTCTTTTATTGGCTTTGGTGGATCTTATGAATGTAAATCTTGCGGTGTAAACAGCTGTGGTAATTTTGTTACTTGGAGTAGCAATGACAAACAAGTTCGAGCAATGGGATATATTTTTGTTATTTAGTACCTGTAATACAGGCAACGCTTGACGTTTTAATTGTCTCATGTTCCTCATGGAAATACAAAACTAAGCCAAATTGTAAAAGTTATTCCTCATTAAAATAAGACCAATTCTTAAGCTTAAGATGAAGAAGAAATCTTTTAGTTTTTAGGCGAACGTTGTTTTTGAACAAAAAGTAACTGCAGTTCTCATATAATAAAATATTGAATTACATATCTGAAATTAAATTTTAAAAAAATTAAATTTTGCAAATAAATGAATTTATATAATTCTCATCGAAATGCAAGAATTTCTTTGTATTTCCAAAATATACTATAAGTATGTAACTTTTATGTCGAACAATTCTTTTAAATGCAGGAGAACAGTCAAAAATTGCAGTTGACTGTTAGAGTTAATTAATTGTTAATTGAGTAGTCAGTTGCAAGAGAACAGTCAGAATTTCTATGAAGTAGCCTTGATTGTTCGTTTAGGAGTAGCCAGCACTTAAATCTAGTTCTGTCCTGAAAATTTTGTGTGATCAAATCCTCACCAAACTAATAATTTTAATGTTCTGACATTTACACAAACCAAAACTTGCTGGAATTTGATGCGCTTCTTCTTTTATGAGCTGCGACTCGGTGGCAAAGCCAGCCCAATCTTTAGTTTTTTTACAGTGCAAATTTTTCATCTAACTATTTATCAAATTTTTATGAAGTTAATTCACTTTATTCTATTTTTAAGTTACTGAACGGAAATTTTTGCGTTTTGGAAGTAAAAAATGAAAATTTTGCTATTTAAATTATGATTGCAATGACCGTGAGTTTTGAAATGACGATGCATTTTCGAAAACAGTCAATGCATACCTCTTTTGGTTTGCGAGATAATGAAGTTTTGTTATTTCCATTTTATCTAACTTGTGACGTCATATTGCATGAGCTCCTACATTGTTTCAAATACTCTTCTGTTTCCTGAAAACTTTAGGTTGATACTAATAGGCAGCTTTTTATACCATAAACCACGTCACGCTAAAGGGAACGCAGTCCTTGTGAAGTAGTCCTAGTTCTCAATATGCAATATGACGTCACAAGATAAATTGGAGAATGCAAAAACCTCAAAATCGCAAAAATTTAAAGTGATATGCGTAAACTGTTTTAAGATGTACATTGTCAT